AACAGATGGCGTCAGGCATTCTTCCAGCATCTTTTCATTTGTTCTGCGTCTCACAAACGTTCTTCTTTGTGATCCAAACACCTCAAACTTGGATTCATCCATCCACAACACTTTGTTCCAGTCTCCAATGTCTGTGTTCTTTTGCCCATCTTTATCTTTTTCTTTTATTGGCCAGTCTCAGATGTGGGTTTTTCTTTGCCACTCTGTCCTGAAGCCCAGAATCCCGCAGCCACCTCTTCACTGTAGATGTCGACACTGGTGTTTTGCGGGTACTATTTAATAAAGATGCCAGTTGGGGACCTGTGAGGCGTCTGTTTCTCAAACTAGAGACTCTAATGTACTTATCTTCTTGCTCAGTTGTGCAACGTTGCCTCCCACTTCTTTTTCTACTCTGGTTAGAGCCTGTTTGTGCTGTCCTCTGAAGGGAGTAGTACACACTGTTGTAGGAAATCTTCAATTTCTTAGCAATTTCTCGCATAGAATAGCCTTCAGTTCTAAGAACAAGAATAGACTGTCGAGTTTCAGATGAAAGTTCTCTTTTTCTGGCCATTTTGAGCGTTTAATTGACCCCACAAATGTGATGCTGCAGAAACTCAATCTGCTCAAAGGAAGGTCAGTTTTGTAGCTTCTGTAACGAGCTAAACTGTTTTCAGTTTTCTGAGCCAATGAGCAAACACATTGTACCATTAGAACACTGGAGTGATAGTTGTTGGAAATGGGCCTCTATACACCTATGTAGATATTGCACCAAAAACCAGACATTTGCTGCTAGAATAGTCATTTACCACATTAGCAATGTATAGAGTGTATTTCTTTAAAGTTAAGACTAGTTTAAAGTTATCTTCATTGAAAAGTACAGTGCTTTTCCTTCAAAAATAAGGGCATTTCAATGTGACCCCAAACTTTTGAACGGTAGTGTATATATGAATTGTTATGTTTAAAGCATTTAGCTAGTCCAAAATCACATTAGCCTTAAGCCTGTACAGCAAAAAGTCTGATTGACTTACCAATGTTACCAGTCCATTAGCTGCTTTCAGGGTTGTTACGGTGTAACATTTAAAGGGGCATTGTCATGTAATTTGCCATTTTTAAAATATACACAAAGGGGTGATTTTACAAGCAAATTGAACAAAAAAGGCTAATGAAAAATAGTACAAGTCTAGTTTAAAAAATGCTGTAAATATTTGACTGCAAGAGTAATAAGACTGGAACAGCCCTGAGAATACATTATGAATGTTGGTGTTCACTGAAGAGTAAGCTAATTTGGCCAAGGCTTTATTATTTGGTTCAGACAATATCACAGGTCTAACAAGGTGAGGGTAATAAAGGCAAGTGAATCTTGGCAAAAGTCAAAAAGGGTGGTGGAGTTGTCATGGTTTGTGCCTTGAAAACTGGAGCATAGACAGAGATCTAAGACAACCACTGCCTTGCTAATTAAACTGAAGGCAAAGGCGCTTACCTGGTCAAGCCTGTCTTCAGATGTCAACCCAACTTATCATCTGTGAGACATACAAAGATAGAAGGTAGAGTACAACATTTCTACAACATCGTTTCTGATCCTCCTCAGGAGAAGACTCTGCTGTAAAACTACACCTTATGGACAAAGGACATTCTTTTGAGGACAAGGATGTTCACATTTTGGATAAAGAAAATAGGTGGTTTAAGAGGGACGCGAAGGATGCCATCTACCGGTATGTTAAGAAAGAAAAACCAGCCGTAAACAGAGGGGGTGGAGTCAGATTTTAGCTTTCACAAATGTACAATATAGTGATAGAGTTGATTCCTTTCCACTCATCATTGCAACCCCACACCCTTTTACAGGGGAATAGAAGACCTCACCTATTCAGCCGGCCCAGCGTTTCCCTTTCAGAGACATAGACAGGTATGGGGCATTGCAGGCTAACAAAAGAAGCCAAACAAAGGGGTGGAGCCATTCTTCCAATTTAATCTGCATATTGTCTGAGACAAAACAAGACTTTGTTGGGCTACTGTATAAAACCTCTTACTCAACGCTTTTCCTTACATATTGAATTGAAAAAGCTTTCCAGATGGGAAGCGAAACGTCTTCAAACTTGGAAACAAAGTCCAGTGGATTGTTTTTTACCCTTTTTTAGAATGACTACGACCTGGATGACTGAGAATCTTCACCAGCTGTAGTCTCTGACCACCATCCTCTACCCAGGGAGTGGAAGAGAATACCAGCAGCATTTTTAAAGCTGAGTTAAGGTTATAATGGAGAATAATGATGGCTTATGTTGACACCAGTTCACTCATTAATGGTAGTGTGCTGAATTGTTTTGAGGGGGCAGCATATTTACACTGTTATACAAGCTGTATGTTTGTTTAAATCATCATATCTCCATTGTTGTCCCTTGAAAAGAAATAATAAAGAGAGATGTTGGTAAGATACTCTGACTCTTTGAAGTGTTGCTATAATCAGTAGATTCATTATTTTTTACATCACACATACAGTTGTGTTGACATTGTTACTGAAAATGTTGATAAAACATTCTCAAGGGGCAATTAAAGGGGCAAGAGCAGACATAAAAAGATAGAAACAGCAGATCCGCTGTTTGTTGTAGTTCTGATAGTACTAGAACGCCCTGCTTTTTTTCCTTGGTTTAACAGAACATGATTTGGGTCATGTTTTCCTACATAAATGTTCTCAAACCACACTGATTCACCCACTGGAACCGAAAAGACAGAGTTTTAGCAACAGTGCTTTCCCGAATGCTGAGCTTCACCAGCAATTTCAGAATTTAGCATGACATCTGATACCATTTGACTTTAATGTAGTTTGTTGTTTTTTAATTCAATACAAGTAATCAGAATTAACGGTCAAATGGTTTAAAACTGTGACATTTTAACCAGCCATTCTTCACATTTATATTGGATTCAGCTAGACGGAAATTAAATTGTAATCTGACTGAGAGTTGTTTTTGCCAATTGACAATTACATCAACGTGCCTATCAACTAGACTTGATTGTAAATTTTAATCAAGTTAATATAAGGTCTGTTAATACTTAATCACATTTGTATTTAAAACTATATGTTGACAAAACACACAACATTTTAATTTTAAAAACCCCTTTTGCTTCAAAGTTATTGAATAAATAAGAAAACATATGAGCAGGGCAACAGACATATTGTTTTTAATCAATTTTTTGGGATTACTCAACCATCAGTTTGGTTGAGACTTATAATCATTTAAGTTCTTTTAGGAAAGCATGATATTTTAGTTATGACAGAGTTGTATTATTCCAAGAATGAAGTCATCATACTACAACCTGTTACAGAAAGAAAGCTTCAGGGTCTGACCAGCAGATGACGGCCAACCAGCTCCACCAATCAGCAACCTGAGTCCACTTTGACATCCTGCCCATGTTGATGCTGATGCTAAAAGATTTCCTTATTTGTCAAACTGATGCCAAAGTCTAACTTCACATGATGCTCAGCATCGACATGATGCTCGACATTCATAATAGTAGGGGAGAAAGTGCTGCTTCTAAGAGTTGTCAAAAAGTACAACTTTATTCTTATAATATAACGACTTTATTCTTTTAAATTTGTGACTTTATTCTCATTACTTTATGACTTTATTCTTGTAATATTATCACTTTATTCTCATAATAAAACGACTTTATTCTCGTAATATTGCAACTTTATTCTCCTAATTATATGACTTTATTCTCCCAATTTTATGACTTTATTCTCATAATGTTGATTTTATTCTCATTAATTTAAGACTTTATTCTCATAATGTTATGACTTTATTCTCGTAATGTTATGACTTTATTCTCGTAATTTTGAAACTTTATTCTCCTAATTATATGACTTTATTCTCCTAATTTTATGACTTTATTCTCATAATGTTATGACTTTATTCTCGTAATGTTATGACTTTATTCTCGTAATGTTATGACTTTATTCTCGTAATTTTGAAACTTTATTCTCCTAATTATATGACTTTATTCTCCTAATTTTATGACTTTATTCTCATAATGTTGATTTTATTCTCATTAATTTAAGACTTTATTCTGGTAATGTTACAACTATATTCTTGTAATTTTGCGACTTTATTCTCGTACTGTTGCAACTTTATTCTCACAATTTTATGACTTTATTCTCTTAATGTTACGGTTTATTCTTGTAATTTTGCGACTTTATTCTCGTAATTTTATGACTTTATTCTTGTAATGTTGATTTTATTCTCATTAATTTAAGACTTTATTCTCATAATGTTATGACTTTATTCTCGTAATGTTATGACTTTATTCTCGTAATGTTATGACTTTATTCTCGTAATGTTATGACTTTATTCTCGTAATTTTGAAACTTTATTCTCCTAATTATATGACTTTATTCTCCTAATTTTATGACTTTATTCTCATAATGTTGATTTTATTCTCATTAATTTAAGACTTTATTCTGGTAATGTTATAACTATATTCTTGTAATTTTGCGACTTTATTCTCGTACTGTTGCAACTTTATTCTCGCAACTTTATGACTTTATTCTCTTAATGTTACGGTTTATTCTTGTAATTTTGCGACTTTATTCTCGTAATTTTATGACTTTATTCTCGTAATGTTATGACTTTATTCCTGAAATAGAAAAAAGCAATCTCTAGCCTGGCCTTAATACTCCGTTGTATTTATGCATCTATAGATGTATGAACAATATTAATGACCAAACATTCACCTAAGCATATGTTTTTGTTGGCAGTAATCTCACCCCATATTTCACTGGAAGTTGGCTTTTATAGATTTGCTCTCCTCATATTTTTAAATTAAGATCTATAATTATGACTTTTCTGCACAAGCAAAAGGCATCTTTTGACATTTTCTTAATCATCCATCAGCCTTTGCGTGTAAATTGGTCTAAAGAGGGAGGAATAATCAGGGAACAACAGTTGGAGAAATTTCAAAATAAAATCCCCCCCCCTGTCTGTATATCTGTCTGCTCCTTAATTCCCTCCTCGGTGAGTCCAAACGGTCAGTGTGTGGGAACGGGGCCGGATGCGGAGCAGATTCTCTGAGGTGGGGTGTGTGTGTGTGTGTGTGTGTGGATGTGATCCTCTCAGACTGACGTCTCTCTGGTAGCGCAGAAGAAGAAGAAGAAGACCGCAGCCGGGTTCCTCCACACACTGAGCGCAGCCAGGCACAAGGCAGCCGCCGGCCGCAGACCGAGGACGCAGGAAGCCAAAGTTAAAGCGGGGAGGAAGCTGGAGTTTCTCAACATGTTCAACCTGCGGAAAGCTGCGTTCAGACACGCTCAGCCAGCGACTGTTTGATTCCTCTGGAGTGCTGCTGCTGTGCTTTTCTTTTTTTCCTCCCTCTCTCTTTATTAAACGTCTGATGTGAAGAACCGAACCTCTTTCCAGCTGAAACGATGTGGACCTCTCATGATACTGTTGGATTTGTTTTCCTTGCGGGATTCTGTGTTCAGTTGGGATTCTCCCTTGAAGGTAAGGCGCAGATCGTGTCGGGCTTTTTTTTTTCCTTTTCTCTTTTCTGGGCTGCCCTGTATTAAAAGTGCGCAGCGCAAAAGGAGGCTGCGGTGGAAGCGGCTCGTATTAAGTGGATCCTAATGCGCAAAGGAAGGAGGGGAAGAGAAATAAGGAAGGTTGCGTCTTAAAAAAATAACAAACAAACAAAAAAAAACATAAGCAACTGGTGCTTCTTTTTCTTTTTTATATAAGTCTCTCATTTCTTTCACGTTCAGGAGAATCGGACCCTTTTCATATTGTTTTCAGTGAAACAGGGTGCTTTGTAAGGAAAAAATAACTTAATGTAAAGGAAAATTAAAAAGCATCCAGAAGCTGCCCTACTGGCTCATTGCGCCGCTGAGTGTGGCTGCGTGGAGCTGTCCGCGGTGCTGAAAGCTCCCCCTCCCTCTGGTCTGCATCATCCTGCTGAGATTCCCCACTTTGAAAACAGCTTAAAGAAGCGCAATCTGCGCTGTCCGAAACAAAACAAAAACATGTTTCTACATGAAGACTTTGAAAATGAAATGAATGTAAAATGAGGTGTTTTAATGGGACTTATTTCATTTCATTTATATAAAAGATAAAGAGAAAAGCCTGCTGGAGCCACCAAGGCTGTGCATAATTAAACCAGGCTGTCTCATTCCTGTTGAAGTCTGGTATCTCTGAGCGGAGAGAGGTGGGAATCTACCTCCGTTTGGCTCAGGAGCTCACTTATTAACACCCCCTCACCACCAGCACCACCCCTTCCCATCATAACGCCTTCCTCCTCCTCCTTCTCATTCCCTTCCCTTTTTTCCCCCCCGGTTCACAGGTCGCTTTACGGACCTGCCCTCCAACATGACCGTTAAAGAGGGCCAGAACATAGAAATGGCGTGCGCCTTCCAGAGCAGAACTACATCCGTGTATTTGGAGATCCAGTGGTGGTTCGTGAAAGCTCCGGAGCCCACGGACAGCGAGGAGGCCCTTGACGCTGAAGAGGTACAAAGCAGCCTCTGTTTCTGTCTGAACACACATAAACACTTCTTCCTCCTACGGAGAGCGGTGCCTGCTGGGTTAGAAGCACCCCACTCAGAAAAATAGGGTGGTTCATCCAAAGCGATCGGTGCGTTTTTACGCACAAACCACCCAAAGTCATTGATGTGTTCAGCTCTCACTCCTAAACCTGTCCATCGTTTCTTGGTTTTATGGCTTCATAGAGGTTTGAATGTTGTCTGAATCTGATGTGCAGATGTGCCTCAGATTGCTCTGATGTGGAATCTGAGGCAAAATATTATGACCAAATAAGTAAAGACGTTGTCCTCAAAGTTGATGTTTACAAGCCAAGCAGAAGACTAAATCACATCATCACCTAAACCAACAGCTCTGGTGTTAATGTGCTGCTATCTGTTGGGTGGACGGTCCAGGTTAAAGGACGGACCTGTGGCTGGCATGGAGGAAGGAGTTGAGGTGATGCTGAAGGTTTCAGGGTAGCTGGAGCTCTGTCATGGCTCTATCACCTCATTGCAATGTGGTCTGGAGACGTTTGAGGTGCAGGAAATGCGTTTTTGGCGTTAAAGAACTGATTCAGATTTATAGGGCATGTTGAAGGTGGTCACAATGATATGCATCCTCCACCAGTATACCTATAAAACAGAATGGATTTGCCTCTGGTTACTTTGCTTTGTTTGTCCCAGTTGCTGTTGTCTCACCAGCTGCTTTCTGATCATTTTAACACGTATTCAACCAATTTAATGAAATGATCGGAGGATATTTTATTTGAATTCTTTACATAATAATCAGGATATTTAAAGTGAAAATAATAACTTTTACTCTATTGATAATTATTGTTGTATTTGTTTTTATGTGCTGCTGTTCTGGTTTACTAACTAAAACTAAGAAATGTATTTATGAATCTTTATGATCATATTTCTTTATTTTCTTGGGTTTTCTCCTAAATCCTTTGATTTGTTTTTATGTATCCCTGATTATTTGAGATTGGGATTTCAAACTGTTGCCTGAAACAGACAACCTGTTGCCATTAACTCAGAAATAAGGTCAGTGATGCAACAAGCTGAACATCTTGTTCTAGAGATGCACCGATTAGTCAGACAAGAAATCAGAATCGGACAATTGGCTCGAATGGCTCTTGGTAAACACATGTAAAGTGATTCTATTCACTTTTAAATACATTTTGTAGTTCATAATTTATTGTATGGTACATTAAAATATGTCATGTAATATACTTCCATTTAACTCAAGGAACACATCATAGATAGATCTTTTTAAAGGCTGATGTTTGTACCGATTATTAATAAATCAGTCTAACCAATCCCTGATATTTACTGCCAAATGTTTGGGGACTATTTCTGAAGCCAACAATATGTTAACAAAAACTAAAAAAATTGCATTAGAAAATCAAGGCAGTAACGTAATAGAAAACAAACAGAGCAGTGCATGTCCGCCATGTGATCTCAATGCGTACAGTAGCGGCTGAATCAATGATTGAATCAGAATTCACGCACGCATTGGTTGAAGCTGATACATGAAGAAAAAACACTATTATTGGCCAAAATATGGGCTGGCTCATGTTTGGGTCTATCTGTGTCGACCTCAGTCCAGTTTTCATTTCCAACCCTTTTTTATAACCTTTTTTTTAATATTATAATTTTTTTAATGATTCACATTTATTGTCAATTTATTTTTGCCACTGCAATGAACATTTATTTTTTTATTATTCATGCGCAGCACTTTGGATTGCCTTGCCTGTGAAATATGCTATAAACCTGGCCTGCCTCTGATCCTAATGATAACCAGCCTGCTACTGCCCCCAACACGGCGTCTCTTGACCCCCTAAGGGGTCCCGACCCCCACTTTGAGAACCCCTCTAAACCTTGACAGAAAACAAAAAAACACTTTCAAACTTCATTTTTTTCCCATTAAAACCAAATTTAGTCATAAATCCCCTCATTACCTTTTTCAAAACAGTCATAAAAATGGCCACAAAATGAGGAGCCCCATCAAGGGAACAAAACAGGAGCATTAATTAAAGCCAAAAATGAAAAAAAGAGCTTGTTCTGCATGTTAATTACATAATAAATGAAGTCAATGAGCCTTAGTGTTGATGAATGGATAAAAGTGGCTGAACTGATACGACCGAAGCAAATTCTTATACGCCGCCTCATTAAACAGCACTACTGGAAATGTGAAGGCTTTTTTTCCTCCCCTCCCCTTGGCCTATGCATTGTTGCTGGTTCTGACAGCTCCCCTTGGCCCCCCCGATTACCAATAGGCTGAGAGCGAGGCTCCGTGTTTACTGCATTCACATGGATGGAAATGACTTGCTTACTTATTGTGGCAGGAAGGAGGCATGTCAGGATTCGCAGGAGCTGCTGTATTGTCAAGACAAACATCAAAACAGAGCTGCTCTTTTTTGTATGTGTGCGAAATAGAGAGAGAGGAGATGTAAGGAGGGCCGGATCTCCATTAATTATTGTCCTATTGTGGCCCCAGCCCTCTGAGGGGCATCAGCCCAGCTTTGATCTGAGCATGATCCCATGTGACTCTTGGATGTTGGGCTGAAGTGGCCTATTCAGGCACAGATCACATTGTTTGGCATATTTCTTATCGCGGGGAAGGCTGTTTGAAATGAAAGCGGCTGTGTGTGTGTTTGTCCCGCTGCGCTGCAGTGTGAACGGACACTCCGTGATGACAGAAGCTGTTTGAAAAACCAGCGGTCCTCCTGGTAGTATGGGAGGAGGGAATGAGCGGGATACGTTAGAATGCAAATGTTTATGCAAATAAAGGCCGCATGCATAAAATAAAGTTGGGAGTTCTTTGAGTCTTTGAAAGGGTGACATGAAAAGACTCCGACAGGAGCTTTTTTTTTTTTTGCTGGGAATAAAGGCAGAGGTCAGGTGGATCAGTGGGTGGGTATGTGCTGTTTTCAGCTCGACGTAACCACTGAAGCTCACCCTTATTCAGACTTCTGTCTAAAGCACAAAATCGTAGCAATCTAGCAGCACACAAAGGTCAGGGTTTTTTTTTTACAAATCAGTCCAAAATAGCACACTTAAAGGAAGAAATGCAGGTTTTTAAAAAAACATGAATCATATGATACTCTATACGTGCTGCCGATTTTTCAGGCCAATATTACTTTCTTCTCATATTCAGAATTCAATCTTCTGAAATTACTTTAAATATTAAATTATAACATACTGTTCAATAAATGATCAGTGTTTTAAATTCAGAGTAATTTTCATCTGAATGTGCTTTACTGGAGGCATCCATGTTTGTCAAAGAACACTACTGCCACCTACTGGTTTGTGACGTCACGGTGCGGTATCGGCTGTTGATCAAGTCCCAGTGCTGTATCTGGTGTTTGTCACAACGCGCTATTATCCAAGTCATCTTGAAAACATTCTTCTTCCAAATGTTGGCTACATATTACGTGTTTTTTCTCTGGCCAGAAGTTCGATGGCAAATCCTCCCTCTTCAAGTTGGAAATCCAACGACGAAACTGAAGTCCTCTGGAAATCTTCAATAATTGTTGTTGATTGCAGATGTGTCTAGTAGTTCCCATTGATTTAACTTGTAAAGCGGGGAGAATGGCGCTAGGCTTAACTCACCGTGACGTCACTGCTGGAAGATGGCAGGAGTGAGGTGTTAATATATTTGGGCAAACATGGCCGCTTTTAATATTGTTATTTTTTTACTGATTAACGCTAAATTCATTAAATCACAGCAAACATATTAGTTTTAGGTATAGATAATGATCCATTGATTCTTCCTTGCTGACTGGACTTTTCCTTTAAATAATAAAGTGACCCAATGATAGTGAATGTCACACAAGTCTCAACTAAAAAAACAATAAAATCATTGAGTAGCATACCACACATGAATGATAGAAAATAGAGGGCCAATGCATGGGTGTATCGGCAGACACTGATACAACAACAATTAACAACGCTAATATCGGTGAAAAATATCAACCGGTGGATGTTTTGGTCTATCCTAATTCTTCTGCTCAGTCTAGGGCTGCACTGATTGATCATTTTGATATTTGATTAATCCAGAGATTATTCTAACAATGAATTGAATACTTTAGAATATACTTAAGGTAACAATAAATAAAAATAAATGATAAATATATGAATCCATATTTTACCTAGGTTCAAAAACTGTTTTTCAACTGCCTGTTTTTTTTCTGGATGCATTGTTCACTAATTAGCTCTATATCCATCGGGATAGGAAGCTTTTTATTTGACCTTAAAACAAAAGAAATACGATTTTTTTTTTCTCCAAATTTGGCTTTCATACCAACTGTTCTGGAATAGAGCAAATTAAAACAAACTGGATAGAACTTCATGGATCAGGATTATTGGATCCAAACATGCTTGTTCTGAACCACTGTAATATGAACAAATGTGTATCTGCCACTATAAAAAACAAACAAAATGGCAGCCCAACTGCAGTGGTTTATTATTAAAACCATATTTCATTTTCTGCATGGAATTATAACAAAAGATTTGTGAATGAATGATTCCTGGAGATTTGGGTTGCTCTGTTCTTACCCAGGTCAGGGTTAAAGTGTTTATATGGTTACTATTTAGAAACATTAAGCATGTATGTTTAATACTAAAATGAATTCAAATATACGAATGATTAGTATCATTAATAAACTCAATAACAGTCAGTTATCCAACAGTTTTACTTAAAATGCATAAAAAAAGATTGAAATGACCTGAACATAATTAAAAAATAGAAGCGGAGCTAGGGGATGGCCAGGAGTGGCCAGGACCCCCACCAGGTGATTTCTTTTATTGTTTGGATGTTAAACAACCAGTTAAAATGGTAACAGTGGTGAATTATTCACAAACATTTTCTGACATTAACATTTTTAAATGCAAAATTGATGCTCTTTCAGAAATAGTTTTTATGTATTGATGTATGTATTATTTTATGACTTCTGAATTCCAGAATTTCAAAATAAAATAAGAAAA